AAAATTTAACATAAAATTTTAATACGAAACTACAAACTAAAAAAAATATAATAGTAAAATTTTAAATTATTTTATGATAAATATGTATTCATTTGTAATGAATTTCAAAAACAGAATATATATATATATATATATATATATATATATATATCTTAAAAAATCAAAATCTTCTAACCTATTTAAAAATTAAACAAGAAGATTTGCAAAAGACATAAGAAAAAACATTGTTTATATTTAAGTGTAAAAAACTTGAACACTTTAAATATTTTGATATATTTGTCAAAAGCTAAACAATTTACTTCAAGTATATAATTTAAAGCTATATACACGTGCATATAAATTTATTTTATGTTTTTAAATTAAACTTTATAATAATGAGATAAGTGAAAAGATTACTTAGAACTAGCCATAATCTATTGTAAAATCAATATGGTAAAATCAACAGAAATAAAAAAATATGTATATATATATATATATATATATATACATGCATACATATAATAATTTATGTTTAGAAATATAAAATTTATGATTACTCTTTGTAATATTTTAAAAAAATGTTTCCTAAATTAAATATTTTAAACTAGCGTAACCTTTATAAAATAACAATCAAATTTATTTTTTAACCTTTTATATCATATTATTTTCTGAATCAAACTAGAAATTTAATCTTATAATACTAAAAAAATCTAATTAGATTGGATTTATTAACTCAATAATAGTTACACTTCCATTAATAGAACTTTAATTGGTAGTCTGTTTTTGGTGATAATTATATTTTTATTTTATTTTATTATATTTTTTTATGTCTATAAAATGTACTCTATTTTTTTTAATTTTTTTAAAATCTAAATATTTTATTAGATGATAAGAAATGTGAGAAAAATAAATACAATAATTTAAACGACAAATTTTTAAAACAAGTTGAGGAAAGTAATTACCATTCAATAGCTATGTTTAATTATTTTGGATAATACATATAGTTGAAAGGAACAAAAGAGTTTGTACAACCTGAAATTTTGCAAAGGTCTAATTTCAAAAATATTTTTTGAATCTTTACTACACAAACGGAAATCAAAGAGATAGTAGCATATATTACAAATTTAGTAAAGAAAACTTTTAAGCTTTTCAAATCCATCTCGGAACCTTGAAACAAAGATGTAAAGAAGTAATTTTAATCTAAAACATTCATTTGATTAGAAAGACACATAATTTGAGGATATATTTTCCGAAAAAGTTATATAGTTTTGAATGCTATGGTGTAAAGAAGTAGGTGCCAATAAGTGGCAAGCTATAATTAGCAACAAATTGCTCTCTACAACTGGTCATTGATTAGATATTGAACAAATTTGGAAAATGTCCATATATTATGAAAGTATGAGAATGTGTTACAACAATTCTAAAGAACTAGTAATGAGTCCCAAAAGATGGAGGCCATGGAAAATATTTGCATAGAGATAACTCTTGCCTACAGAAAAATGGAACTTAAGATTGAAATGATTTAGAGTCATATGGATTTACTTGACTTTATTTCTTTCCAAATATAATTAGTAGTTAATGTTATTAATCTCAAAGAGAAATTTTACTGAAATGAACAAAACATTTGTTACAGACATATAACATATGTCATCAAACTATATTATGTTGCAATCTTTAAAATTTTAAATGATTTTATTTAAGGAAAATTCACATAGATTCTTCTACTAGTATAACCATAAAAAATAATGATAATATTAATAAGGAAAAAAATTAATCGTATTTTTAAAATATTTATGTGATCTATAAATATGTGTTTATATATATATATATATATATATATATATAAATTTTTTTACTAGTATGTAAGTCAAGTATTAATAGATTTTTTACATATTAGTAAATTCTTTTATTTAAGTGATATAAAAATAATTCTTTATTAAACTAAAATAGGCAATTTAAATGGCCACATGAGAATCTAATAAAAAAATTTAAAATTTGATTTATAAATAATCATAATTAAGTCCATATTATTTAAATTTTTAAAACATGTTATAGTATTTGGTTTGTTAAAAAATAGAAATATAATATCAAAATGTTCACATGATTTATTTTTAAAATTTGTAAGTTTTAATGATCTTCAAATTTTATTTTGGATATATAGTATTCAAATTTCTTATTGGAACAATAATATATTATATATATATATATATATATATATATATATATATATATATAAATAAATACATGTATACGTACAATTATTCATTTTTATTTTGATACATCTAAATTAATTTTAAGTAAGCTGTATAAAAAAATTAAGACTGCTTTAAATGTTATTATTTTTATTTTATTCTCTTCTTCTTCTATGGGTGCAATAATTTTTGATTGTATATGTATGCACAAGGTTTTGTTCTAATTTTTCATGTTAAATTTGAAGTTTTACTAATTAATTAGTGATTTTTTCACTATTGAAGTGGCTACCTAGGAATACTTCAAGTTGTCATGTTGAATTGAAGAGATGTTTTGAATAAAGTTTCATCAAGTACAATAAGGTGTCATTTGTTGGATTCTTTCTTTCTTCTATTACACCTTTATTTATTTTTTATTTTTTTATTGTTGGTCTCAATCAAATAACACATGTAATTCTTAAACTTTAATTTCTTATTCGTCTGCTTATATTTTGATTAATTTTATTTAACTAATTTAATTTTGGGAGACTGTGCATCCCCTCCTCCCGCTCCAAGAAAAAGAAAAAGAAAAAGAAAACATGACCGGATATCACGGGTGGGCAGAATGGATGAAACCTATCGAAAACTTCGTCGATATTTGGATGATACCTATGTGAGAACTTCGCCGATATTTGGACCTGAAGACGTGGATCTCTAAACTTAGACTCTTTACTTTAAACCCCAAAAACTGCCAACACCGCATAATTGAAAATGATCAGTCCCTCACAACTCTGGAAATCCCCTCCTCTACGGTGTCAGAAATGTCTCTCTCCCTCTCTCTCTCTCTATATATATGGACGAGAGGACGGATGAATGTAGTAGTGGATGAATGAATGGACGGATGCATGTTTCCATTTAAGACCCTCCCATGACTTGAAAAAAAAAATGAATATACGAGATGCACTTCGAAAGTCGATGCATTTATTTTAATTAAAGAACTTCGAATACCTTGAAATGAATAGGAAAAAAAAACAAACAAGCAAACAAAAAGTTGCAGACTCAATCTTGATTTGAATGAGCTAATGGAATTGAATCACACCCCCAAGCCAAACCAAAAAGCTTGTCCACAATGAAGGGCGGCGCATCTCTCGGGATCGACGTCGTTCGTTCATCCACATACCGTTCATTCGTTAGATGACAGCATCCGTTATTTATTTTATTTTATTTTATTTATTTATACTTCCAGCGGGCTGGATCTTCCATCTTCGAAGGCGGGTCTTGTTGAAGGTCGTGGGCGTGATTGTTTGTTTGGTTTTTTTTCAAAATTCCGCCGTTGTCCCAACTGAGGCGGCCTCTACCCCAGGTAGGGAGGGGAATATGCGGGGGTGCGGAGATCCAACAAAGGAGGGTGGGGTGGCACCGCGGCGCATTCTTGCTTGGCTGTGCACGCAGGATGGAATTATTTTGAACAGTGGAGGAAGGAAGGAAGGAAGGAAGGAAGGAAGGGCAGTGGGACACAGTAGGAGTAGGAGGGAGCAGTGGTGTAGGGGAGCGAGGGAGCGAGCGAGCGAGCGAGAGGGAGAGTGCGATAGAGAGAGATGGAGCTTTCAAATTTAGCAAAGATTCGGAAAGAAATCAGGGGGGGCAGGACGGGGATCACTCGGGGAAGGCCCCGTCCTATCTGGTCCCTCGCTCTCCCCACTATGATGGACGGACAGACAGTCTTGCCACGAAGTGTGACCCCTCCAAGATAAGGCTCTCCTTATTCAGGACTGGCCACCTCACGCCCCGATCGGCCTTCCCCGCTTTTTCCCCAGAGAACCTGATATCATTTGAATCCGATCATGCAGAGATTCCCTCGCCGTGTGAAAACCTCCACTGAAATTCGCCGGGTGCACATTTCACTAAGTCTTTTAGAGAAGGGGAAGAGCTCCAGTGGATATCCACGAGGGCAATTGCTTTCAGTGCATGATCTCACCGAGCAGCCCTTTCAGAATCACGCTGATGAAATTTCCGAGTGGCGATTTAAAAACCCGACGGCCTGTTGGAATCGCCGATTGTGTCCAAGGAGGACAGCTTCAGCTTGAATTGGATTTTGTGGCCTGGCTGGGATAAAGTGGAAGCACATCGCAACTCGCTTGCCTTGACTTTCAACCTCCGAAATTCCACAGTTACAATTGTTTTAATTTTCCCATGGTCTTCTTCTGTTTTTCAAATGTTGTTGAATAATTGGCTTTTCTTGTCCCTTGTCTGAACCACACACCTTGGGCATTGATCCAGTTGAAACTCAATCTCGTTTGAATCCTTGTGAAGCAAAACAGCATTTAAGTTTCTGCACGCCACGCTTTGTTGATAGTTTGTATTGAATGTTTGTCGAATGTTAATGACATATGCAGCAGCATTGAAATTTGAAATCCCGACCATTACAGGTTGAACAACTTCCTCGCCTGGAGGTAAAAACAGGGCCGCCAACGACAAGTTCTTTAATTCTGTGTAATGATAATTAGGTGTCGAAGATCTATGATACTCAAATCTGACAAAGCAAGGATAAACAACTTCATAATAGAGAATTCTTCAAGGAATGCAACTCCGATGTATATACATATATATATATATATATAAACATTGCATACTGTGTAAAATGTGTAAATCAGCAGTTGGAATTTTCAAAGTCACAAGCGTCGTCAAATGGTAATAGAACGCGGGTTTGACCAGTTCGAAGGAACACAGTGAAATGAGGAATGGAGTTTCGTGAGGACGATGAACGAACGAAGCATCTCCGTCCGCGAAATCTGAACGAGAAGGCGACGAGGGGGATGGATGCTATTTAAATGGGGGCGTTGTTCGCTGTTCGTTAGGCGTCCATCGTCTCTGAGGACCCCCCCCCCTTTCCCTTCCTCTTCTTCGCAATGCCTCCAAGCGTAGCATCTGCCATTGCGAGGCCATACATTGCCATGGCAAGCAGGCAATCGTCAGGCTCATTCTGCCTCTGCAAGTACCTGTCGCGGCGTGGATCCTGTGTATTCGCTGCCTCTCTTCGTGTTCTATCTATCGACCCCCAAATCGCTGCAAACTGATCTGGTTCCATCGCGCTATGTGCAAACCTCTTCGTTGTTTGCGTGTTGATATATGAGGTGCACGCTTTGGGAAACTGGAATGAGCTCTGGTGCAGCTGTGGACGGGATTTGTAGCGTTTCGTTTGCGATTTGTAGGGATTCTGGCCCGCGGTGGGCTTTTGAGCGGCGTCAGTGCGAGTGTCGTGCAGAAATTGGAAGATGTGGACTTGCCAGGGGATTGTTTTGAGGTTTTTGTCGATCCGCTGCAGTGGCGCGGCGCCTGTAGGATGTTGGTGGTAGCGTATTAAGATAGTGATTGCAGATCGGCTTTGTGGCACTTAACTGATTGCAGATTGAAAGGATTGTCGTTCGTCTGAAAAACCCAAGCTATACCTCATGGAATTGTCATTAGTATCAAAGGCCAAATCAGGTATGCAATCGTTCATTGCACATTGGACGAAATTTTTGATTGCACGCGGTTTGCGTTCCTTTATAGTGGCGCATTATTAGCTTAGGTTAGTGCTACATTCGGAACCGGTGTGCACCTGTCAGCTGTTAAATGTTTGGATTCTTACGTGAACACGAAGGATAGCCTTATCAATCTCGGTTGCCTTGAATCATTGGTAGTTAAAAACTTGTCCTTTCGATAATATGTTCAGTATTCGAGATGACTCGGGGCTGATTGGTAGCGTATTCAGCCGCTCGGGGAACTTGTAGTTTACTCCAGATGACTAACAAGATCGTGTAGTTCGTTTACTCTGGAAACTGATTGGATCTTGTCAGAATCGAGATTTAGAATTCTCTTTTATCTTTGCCCTTATCGGTTTGGTACAGATAGTGTGCATGGTGCAATTTAAACCAGGTGAGAATGATTCCCATACGTGGTTTTGAATTCTCTACCAAGCGCACACAGTTAAACAACGTCATAACTTCACACAACCCTGGTGATGGTTTCCAGCTTTGCAGAATGTAGCTGCAAAAGCAGAACGAGTTCTCACCGAAATCAAGGCTGATATTAAAGCAGATTTTGGTGGGCCTCCTACTCCGGATGCCGTTACCCGGTCCAATGGGAAATACATTCACGGTGAGTGCATTGGCTAGCTTTTAATAATGCTGATTTTGATACTCTACTAATAATTCTGATTTTGCGGGCTCACAGTGCAAAGTAATTACTCAATTAACATTAGTATCTTCAATTTCGCTCTTGTGAACCGAAGATGTCTGCTTTTTCCTTGCATCGCTTGTTTAATTGGAAATTAAGATATCCTTCTTCCTGATCACAGAGACTGAGTTCAGAACAGAGTACACTTGGAGTGCCAAGAATGATAATGAGAAACGGCACGAAGCTGAGTTCAAGAGACGAATTCTGGGCCTGTCTAAGGTCAGCACTGATTCTGATTGTAAACTGAAAGATAGGTCTAATTTGAAATGTAGGCTTTGGCGATTTCGCTTTTAGGAGGTTTTGGTTGGATTAAAGATCGTCTGGAGAGTTTGGGCCCTTATTCATTATCTTTGGAGCATCTTGAACTTATTTAGTCCTGGGTTTAGTATCCTGCAGACCTAATCACTTTGGTTGAACAATCTGTGATTGATTGGTATTTGTTCTGAACCATAGAAACCGGAAGAATTTCTGGAGGGGTCTGATGGCGAGCATGAATCTGTCGATATGCACAGTGCGATGATGTCTGTTAGAGATACCTTGGAGGTATATGATCTTTTCAAGCTTACCCCGTTGTTCATTTCTGGTTTTGTTGCGATTTGTCATCTACAAACTTCATGAAGCAGTTCCTTACCCATTTTTTAAAGAGTGTACATGATATTTTATGCTTCTCTGCTTCTCACTACTTCCACTTGCAGGTTGACGAAGCGTTGAAAGATTTATGGTTCGAATACGTACCGAAGAAAATGAAGGAACATGAGTTTTGGCGCCGGTATTTTATTGCCGTGAAACGTTTACGGCAGGAGGTTATTGACTCGGATTGTGAAACTTCTATTGGCAGAAGTTGGGCGAGCAGTGAACGCAGATTGACTATTGGTGGTATCCTTAATGAGGTATGTCTTGCTCAATTGTTCGATAGTTTGAATCCTTCCTCACGAGATCGTCAGAAACCTCGATCAGTATTTTCCTCGTGTGTCTATTTCTCATTTGTATAGATACCCACCATGTTTCTGATATACGTGCTGCACAATGGTAGAACATGCTCTTACCTGTAACGTTCGTGTAGAGCCTAAGGAAGGATCCAATCGAGGAGGAAGCCTACAAAGAAGCACTTTCTGTCGTCTCTGTTCCTCCGTCCATGATTGTACGACGCCTTGCAGCTGCCATCGAGTAAGAGAAACAATCTGCTTGTACTAGCAACTAAGATTACGTTTGCACTAAACATTGGTCAAAGTAGTCATTGTTAAAATTTAGTTCTTTCATGTGCGGAAATGTGGTCTTTAAATTTTGTACCGCTATTAACAACCTAAATCTTAGTGAGTTATGCGCATCCCGTCGGCGTTTTTTTTGGTTCTGTTATGGCTTAGTTATGCAATCATGTAGGAGAGAATGGTTTTCGATAGGCGATAAGAACAATGACATCATCTATGCAGTATTGATTCAAACCAACGTTCCTTTGAATGTGTACTTCCATGTTATTTCATTTTTACATGGCTTGAGATGATTGAGACTCAGCTAACTCGGAGATTTCTTGACTCAATATTGATGTTCGACAATTTGACTACACAGAATCGGTAGATCGGTAAAGAGCATGCAAGAGTTTGCGTCTCAGGGTGGTCGTCTTCTAGATGTTTTATCCAGTACTGGTGATTGGTCTGGCATAGTCTCGAGCTTTGCTGCTATGAAACGGTTGAGTGGTGGTCGTGGCAAAGACAACAGATTAAAGTTCTCAAAGACTTACAGTGTTGGAGATTATCAGAACTTGCTGAAGTCACTTTTTGATGCAGGTGTGTTATATTTTATTCATGCAGTAAATACGAGCATTTTAAAGTTTTTCTTTGGTTTATGAAATTTTCATTTTTATATCTCAGCACACAAATTGCTACTGATTACAATATGTGAGTTCTCTGAAAGATGTGACTTCACCTTCAGTGCATCTCTGTCTCAAACCCTTGAACTTCTCATTCTGCGTCCGCTTTTTTCATTATTGAATCTCTCATTCCTTTTTTGTTGTTTCCTTTGAACTGAAGGTTCTCAGCATGAAGATCAGGAAGTCAAGAAATCGTCAGTTGTAGTCAATTCAAAGCTTCCAGAAGAGATCCATGGAGCTCCTCCAGATAGTTTTGTGGCACAGCTTGCTGATTGCATGGCTGGAATAAAAACTGTTCAAGGCATGGGTGAATTCTGGGTCCAAGTGATAGATGAGGTACTATCACCTATAATTATTTTGATGATTATATTCCAGAATCACTTCAAAAAATAATTGGTGATGTTTTGCTGAGTCGCAAATGTTTCTGTGCGCAGCTTCGGCGCCGATGGAAGGAAGGGCTACCAATATCGCGCATGCCCATTGACGAAATTCCTGATCTGCGCTACTGTCTGCTTCACCAACAATTACAGTTGATTAATTGTTGTATTGCGAGGCGCAAGAAGCGCGTTGCAGATCTAGAGTCTCTTGAGATCTTAAGTTCATATGTAGCTCACGAAGAGAGTTCTTCTTCACAGAACGCCGACAACCATGTAGCACTTCTTGAAAGGCCTAACAAGAATACTCCGGTGCTACTCTATGCTAAGCTAAAAACTGGTGAAAAGGTTCTCAGAATTGGAGCGGACCGTCCGGCAGCTGACCTTCTAATGTTGGAGACCGGGGAGCCAGTGTACTCGCCTATTACTCAAGTAAGTCAATGTGTTCTCACCATTCTGGCGTAGATTATGATGTTCATGAAGAAAGCAATCAAAAAATAACCTACGCACATAGGTCTTATAATTTGAAATATCTGTTTGCTTAATCTGTTATATTCTTCATCTGCAGGATAACCCTATAATGACTGAGGATGCTATAAGAGAAACCGAGGAACTTATTCTTCGCACTAGAAGGTGAGTACAAATAGTCCCCGTACAAAGTAAGGACTATTTTGACAGTTGTATCTGAACACATGCAATATGATGCAAGGTTTTGTAATGTTCTAACCTCCTGACCCTACTATGTTAACAGTGTTGGAGCTGGCTGTTCACAGCTTCTATCTGATATGCAAGCCTTTAAGGTACCTTGGTTATCTATCATGGACTATGATTCGCAATTTCATATCAGCTATCATGTTTTATGCTTTGCAATTTTGTAACTTGTGTTTTTCAAAATTATGGTTGTTTGGTTTTCGATTTAGGCTGCCAATCCCGGATGCATATTGGAGGACTTTGTGCGGTGGTACTCTCCTTTGGATTGGAGGGAGGAACCGGGATCTGGTCTCATGTTTCAAGGAAGTTCGGAGAATGCCGGGGAGAATGGGGCTGTTCGAGGGTATCTTAGCGCACGCATGCAATGTCAAGGTAGGTGGACTCTATATTTAATCATTAATTCTTGACATGTCTCATGCAACAACTATGTTGAGCTGTGTGGCTATGTTATTACGTCCTCATCAGTATTTACCGCCATTAGTGTTAACATCATTTCAAGTCTCATGTTCATCTTGGCTGCAACGTTGCGCATTTTCAAAGGTCGTCTATCAGGACAGGGCATAATATGACCACCTGAAATCAACGTATTGATGTTGATTTCGATCGAATGTTATCAACCTAAACGGATGTGTTGAACAGGAAACTTGTGGCAAGAGCTATGGGCGTCTTCACGACCAGTACCGGCACTCAAGCAATCCCCACTATTTGATGAGGAGCTTGCTGGGTATGTTGCTCTCTACAAGTCGGTTGCTAGAGCTGTATGAAATTGTCTTGAAAGGTTTACCACTGTGGCCCTGATAGTTTTTTGCATGATATTTTATAGTGGCATGCAACTGTGTGCCAACATGTCAATAGTATTTACATATCTGTGATGTCCCTTCTGATTAGGATTAAAACAATGATAGTAATGCTGATTCTTGTTGGGCGACGCATTTTCCAGTGAAAGCACTCTCGATGTACTTGAAGCTGTAGCTCCATCAGATCTTTTCGAGCAACTCTTTCTAACTGCGGTATGTATCTTTTTTGATGTACCATATTCTTAGTGTTAGGTTGGAAAATTCTGTGCACATGCACTTGGTTTGTAACGAGCACGTGTAACTTATTTCGAGGAGAGCCTTGACTACGGCTGCAGAAATTGACATCTTTCGTTTCACGTGCTGTGGCAGCTTGGTACAGGCTTTGCGATTGCTGAGGCCGCTTCTGTGACCAAAACAGAAGCGCTTACAAGATGTTTAAAGGAGTGCACTGAGCATGTGGTGGCTACGTGTGGACGGGGAATGAGCTCTTCCAAACTTGAACGTCTATGCGGGGTAATCATTTATGCCTGCTGGAACTTTTGAAGATAATATTTTTCAGAGCTCTTTAAATAAGGTCAATAGTTGGGACTGTCACTATGACAGATATTTTTAAGCTTGTATTACAAATCTGGATTTATGGATTTACCGGAATATTTTATACTCCATAGAAAATCCTCTATCTTATTATATATGTCCAATCTTGTTTTTCCCTTTCTGAAAATGTCTTAAAGCCGTATCCTCTTCTACGATTGCGCAACAATTTTCAGAAATTACTGTTGAGAGGGACAGAACATTTGTGGAAGCACACATAATGGAACTTAAGTGTGGGTTCTAAAGCGATAATTGGTGATATTTGGAAAACTATTTGTTCAGATCTATGAAGCTATGGAGTCCGCTGTTCACTCACCACCAAGCGATGACGACGTGGAGGCAGAGGCAGTGACTTCTGGGCTAACGGATGCTGCAGCTGTTGATCGTGATGATAATTACGATTTACCAGACCCTATCCCCTTGGAAGCTGAGAAAGTCACACTGCGGAGGTCAATAGACCATCAACAGACCCAACATCATGTCAAAGGTGATTTTGGACAATTGTTCTCAAGGATTTTTGAAGTAAAATCTTCCTTCTTTGAGAAGAAACATTTGAGGCCTTTTAACGCTGACGAAGAGAGGAGGCCAGCACCGACTGTTTCAGGGGAGTGGACCTTAGTTTAGTGATATGTTTCTATTTACCTACATACACGGACTCAACACAACTCTCTATCAACGGTTGTGACTTGGAGCCACTGATTTTTGGGGAGTTGATATCTCGAGCAAGAGATAAGTGAGGAGCGCATGTGGTTTCTGGCTTTTGTAGTCTCCAACCAGGTCTGCATAGAATATTGACAGGAAGTTACTGAACGCTACACGGAATCTGAACAAGCGGCTCGAAACCTAGGCCACTTAGGGGAGGCTTTGTTTCTCATGTCCTGCGGGAATCATCCTTGACGTTGCAAGTGTAAATAATCTGGATGTGCATTGTGTAATGTAAAGTCAAAGCCCATATGCGTGAGAATCAAAAGTAAACAAAACTGTTTCATCGTGAATCTATATGCTATATTTGAGAATTTAATCTGTATAAGTCACATTTCAGCAACCAAACCCATTTTATATTGGTAGCATCTAAAATCGTATAGGTAGAATATTGTATAGTTTTTGACGTTACAAGTGAAGACAGAAGGATAAATGTGCTTACTTAAAAGTTACAGAAAGCATGAAACGGAATGAACAGTACGTTGGATTGTGATGGTTGATTGAACCCCTAAACTTCCTTGTATTAATTTGCTTTCCAGACTCCAAAACTGCCAAAAAGACACCCCTTTCAATAAAATGATTTCCTAGTCTTTTTTTACAACACTTCCAACTGTAAGATCTTGTTCCTAACTAGTATTAGGATCAGTCTGCCATATCTTAGGTGTTGAGGTCATTGCATGTGCGAAATCATAACATTCAAAGTTGAGGGAAAAGTTTCTTTTGGTGTAGCCAAAAAGGCATAGTGAGACTTGTGCTAGGCACAATTCCTTCTTGCGATTAAACTTTTTGGGAGAATTTGTTTTCAAAGACCCTTAAGTGAAACACATGCATACAAAATCTTAAGAAAACATGTATAGCATCTTCAACTAAATTGCTTTCAAGAAGTAGATAGTTGAAAAATTAGTAACAAAGAAATTGCTTCAATATATCATATTGCTTTCAAAAAACAATGTATTCAAAAAATGGGTGGTAGGTAGAAGCATCTTTACATGCTTTAGAAGGGGAAAAAAAAAAAAAAAAAAAAAAAAGAATATATAAAAATGTTAAAAACTAAATTGATATGGATTTTAGAAGGTCATACATGACCATTAGCTCTAAAATGCATTGGGCAGCTTTGTATTGGACCAATACAACCCCCAAAACTACTCACAATTATAGTTGTCATGTGATTGGTATAAGCTCTTGTCCAAACTACTCCAATTGAGGTCCAAATCTAAAAAAATACCATAACTAATTTCAATAATATATTTTTCTAAAAAACATTAGTAGAGCATAAAGTTCACAAGATTCTTTATCCTTGTAAAAAAAAATTCTAATAAAAATACCAAAGTTTGATACTTCATATAGAACACTCAAGACAACTAAAAATTGTTTTAGCTTTTAAAGAGCTTTAGAAGTTAATAATAATAAGAAAGTTATTGTGTCTATCATAAGTTCATGACATCAAGTACAAATTTGAAAGTTGTAATAAACATTTTCTAATATTAAAGACTTCTTGAATAAAATTTAAAATTTTGAAAAAGTGTAATAAAAAAATATATTTTAAAATAAAATAAATTTGGTTAGCTTTTTTTGATTTTACTATTTATTATTTTATTATTATTTTAGTTTGATTTAATTTAATTTTTTTTAGAATTAAAATTACAAATTGTATCTAATGTAGGTTGTTTTATACCTATTAAATATATAAAAATATCTAAGATGTATAAATTTATCCAATTACATGAATAGCTTTGTTTTACTTTGCATATCTTCATATATATATATATATATATATATAAGCTCTAATTATAAATATAAAAATCATTGATTACAGGAAATATTCTGTAAAAGAAAATAAAAATAAAAATAAAAATAAATTGTTGTCAACCTCAATCTATTTGTTGTAGTTTTTAGATATATCTTTTTTTGTAGACAATCATCACAATAGAGTCTTTGCATTATTTGCTTTGTAGGCTTTGTTTTGTATGAATAATTGACTTATATAAAATCAATAATAATATTAAATTTAAGATAACATTCTATTTCTATTTGCAACAATTAAATATATAAGAAGAAAAAAAACCAAAAATTCAGATCAAATTGTATATATATATATATATATATATATATACTAGTATTTTAATTAAAAATCTTTTTCCTCAATTTTTTTGTGTTTCAATTAGATTTGATAATTTAATACTAGGTGAGCTTTATTGTCTTTATTTTGTTTTTATTCATGTATAGTGTTTGAATAGTCATAAGTATTTATCAAATTTGTGATGGTCCTAAAAAATTATAACATTGAAAAGTACCAACAATAATATTCTTCTTGAGAAATATATATTATAATTGGTTGGTATATAATAACATATATATTTTTTCTAATGAAAAAAATAAAAAAATAAAAAAATAAAAAATGTTTGTGGATAAAGATCCTAAAATTATGCTTGTATTAGGTCTTAAAATATGTAAATAATTAATATTCTACTTAGCATTATTGTTAATTTAACAACTAAAGACTATTAGTATTGGATTACTTTTTATGGATTAGTAATTGTTGCAATATTAGAATCAGAATTTTGAGTCAATAATGTAAATTTGTGGTATCTTTTTGTAATTGTTTTTCATATCTTCTAATTTTTTATTAATTAAATAATGTTGCTTACATAAAATTCTATCATTATTTAATTATTTTTAATTATCTAGCTTTATCCAAACTTATTTTAGCTTAGTATGGATAAATTGTGCTTGTAGTCTATCAATGATATTATTTTTATAATAATATTATTAATATTTTTAGATTAGATTTTATATAAAATAAAAATTAGATCTATGCAATGTTATCTAAATTAGCTTTATTGCTTGTGTACATTCATTGTCTATCAAAGTCTTTGGTTTTTTTTAGTTGATTTCAATCTATTCTTATAGAAGATATTATGCACATAGACAATCAACATAACTACAAGTACTTTCATTATTTATTTGATTTTAATCAAATTTTTTATTAAAGATATAATTATTAAATTTTATATAATTAAAATTTATTTATAGTTATAATAAGATGGTGCTGAAATTGCATTTAAAGTTGTTCAACATTAATAGACTTGTAAAGATATAAAAATATATTTTTTATTTGTCTTAATAGTGGTAGTAGAAAAAATACTTAGTAAAAATTTGGTAAAGTATGTAAAGTTAGATTAGGCAAAAATAAGATTTGATATTTTGATAATACTTAAGGCTATATTCATTCAAATTTTCTATCTAATTTTTTAATCTAACTAAAATGTAAAATTTAAATTCTTTCCAATAGAAAGATAAATTGCTATGAAATTTTATAGTATGGTGCATCTACAAAATCTTGATCTATTAGTACATATAAATTTTTTTCGATGGAGTTTTGTTTTTTACTTAGAAACTCAACTACTTTGAAGATATTCAAAGATCTTATTTTTAGTTTTTGATTTTTTCTGGATGCTATATTAAAGTACTTTTTAAGTAAATATATTAAAATAAAAATTGAACTACTGTATTTTTATTGTTATGACTCAAGTAAAAATCTAAGACTAATTAAATCATTATTAGTATTATTTTAAAAAAATGGTGGGTAGATATCATAAATTAAATTTGGATCTTTTTAAAATATGACTTTATTTATATGATTATAATATTAGAGCACTGTGGCTTAGTCTTGTAATATAAAAATTCTAGATGTAACTTTTTAATAGTTGTTAAATCAAGTTAGTATTTGTTTAATATTAGTTTTATAAATTTTAGTTTGATATTTCTTTTATTAGTTATCAAAGTGAATTTTTATCTTTTTAGTCTTATTTTAGTTTACTTTAATGAAGATTTCTCACATAAATTATTACTAAAGGTTATCCTTGACTTTATCTTATTTCTATATTGCTTATTGCAAGGATTTAATAAAGAAGTAGTAGTTGCAAGTTTTTTTTTGATATACCATTTTATTGATTATTATTAATTAATAATTTTTAATAAATCTAAATATATATATATATATATATATATATTGCATCTTTCACTACTATATTTGATGAGATTATATAGAATTTTATTCTTGTTGTATAATAATTCTTTTTAATTATTATTATATTACTTTTAAACTGTAATATAGACAAATACAAAAAATAATTTAAAAATAAGTATATAACAAAAAATTCTAAACCTTTGTATAATTATATTTTTATATTTTTTTATAATGAAACAAGACCAGATCCTTTAAGATCTGAAACCTTACTAAATCTATAACAATAAAGATCTCAATACTACGTAAGATCAAGTGCACCAGCATAAAATTGAAAGTAATTAAATGGAATAGGACCTAAAAGACAAGATTGAGTAGAAGAGAATAGAATCAAATAGAACCAGATAGAACGGAACAAGAAAACCAAACTTTACTATGAAAAAGAGTTTGAAGCCATATCTAACCAAATGGCTTCAATGAGTCCTATTTATATTTTGTTCAATTATCTTGGAACTTTCTAGAATGTTCTTAAAAGTAGGTCCTACTAAGATAACTGCTTCTTTAGAGGATTCTAGAGATAGACTCCACCATGATAATTGCCTGAAGCCTTTCTAGAAGATTCCATGGTGGATTCTATATGCATCACTATCCTAATTTCAACTTTAGAAATTTTTCACGACTCCACCTACATATCTCTATGTGCAAATAATACAAATATCCTATCCATGCCTTGTTATACATAGATTGTGCTAACCTTATATATAAAACAGTTAAATATGTATTAAGCCTATTGAATTTGTTGTAAAAAATATTTAATATATAGATAAATGATTATTATTAATAATTAAATATTAATATAGATAATTATATATATTTATATTTTTTATTTAAGATAAAATATAAAATTACTTATTATATATATTTTCTTATGTAATTAATTTCTATGTAAAATATTCTACCCATCTATTATTCATTTCTATCTTATATTATGATTTGAAATATTTTTAGATATAAACTTATTTATTATTTATAGCATATTAATAAATAATAATTTTTTATTATTAAATATTTTATAATTTATTTTTTAAATATATATTTTAAAATTATTTTATTTAAAATTACATAATTATTTTATAAAATTTACTAATATATATATATATAAAATAAATATAAAACCAAAAATCTATTTAAAATTTTGTAATAATATTGTATTAATATATATATATATATAAAATAAATATAAAACCAAAAATCTATTTAAAATTTTGTAATAATATTGTATTAATATATATATATATATATATATATATATATATATAAAATATTGTATACATATTCTTCAAATAAGTTGAAATATCAGGGATATTTCTATATTCTTAATAATAGTAAATATATCCCTCAGATTTGTAATAATAGCAAATCTATCCTTCTTGGTGATTAGATATCACCAACATTCTTTGTTTAGTTGTCATTTGGGATCCTAATTGCAAGTTGCTCAAATTTTGCCTTGTCCTTTTTTGGCTTTTTAAGAATTAGAAAAGTCTTGACTCCTTTTCTTTTGTCAATTTGCAAACCACGCCTTGCATTGCAAATTCTTGGTTGTACCAAGTTGTCACAATGTTTTTTCTCTTGCAGTGCTCTCATCCTTCAAATTGCATGCTACAACTACCATCTATTTGCCACCGAGCTTCTATGCCTCAAGGTATAAATGTGATTTATGGTAGAATATAAATCAAGATGGTAATATAACATATGATTGATGAACTTCTCTAATCAAGTTTTTGGATGAAAGTTCAAGGTTTTTTGTATCTTTTGTCTTTGATTATTTTAGCAAAATAAAAATCAATACTGAAGATTTTTTTTTTCTTCTAGGTAAATTTATTTGTGCTTTTATTTGGAAGTCATTCTTATAGTATAACAAATCTACAAGAACTATTTTTTCATTGGCTTTTGAAAATCATTATATAGCTACATTAAATTCAATGGCACTAAACATCTTGGATTTATGGCTTGTTATTGAATAGGTGCTTACATGATCCTTATATCACATTGCATTTCTTTTAAAGAGAGGATCTAGTCTTCTTTTGATCCTAGGATGGATCTTGGGTTTGCAAACATGTTCAAATACCAATGCCCTTAATAGAAAACATGAGTTGAGCAGATGCACTTTACATACTATTATAACAACAAGCTATTGCCTATAGCATTTGATAAATTTTATTACGTCAACTTGATAGTAAATCAAAGCTTGATGCATATAAATTTTGAGATTGTTTGGAACTAACATACAAACTATTTGTGGTAGTATTTACTAAAGATAAAACTTTTTGGCAGAAGAACTTTGTAATGGCTTTCACCAAATTGGGTGAACATAATCTTCTAATAGATATTCAAAGGGAGGTCCAAAAGCACCAAAAAGCCAAAAAAGAGTGTAGCAAAATTTGCATAGTCTGCAATCTAGGCTCCAAATGACAAGTAAACAAGGAATGCTGGTGATACCTTATTATCAATAAGGATTCATTTGCTATTATTAAAAATACAAGGATATTCTTGATATTTCAGCATATTTGAAAGATATATATATTTTATATATTTTTATTTTTTTCTCTCACTATGATGCTTATTTGTTTATTTTTTAAACATAGAAGTTTTGACATCTTAGTTGTTTTGAATATTTACAAGCACAATTGTTTATTAGACATATTTTATAATAATACCTACAAGTTACCAATTAATTTTTTTCTACAATATATATATATATATATATATATATATATATATATATATATACACATATATACTTACAAGATAATTCTCCTTGTATTAAAATAAAAATTATAGAATTACATAAAAGTTTAAATCATGAAAGTATATTTTTAATCTATGTATGCAAACTTATTTGAATGAAACATATTATATATGAACATTGTTGTTATTATTCTTATGATAAAAAATTATATTATTACCAAAATATTACACATATGTTTTTTATTATTTAGAGTGTAAAAAATCATGAATAAAATATTTAAGTGCATATTTTATTATATTAATATTTCTTCTAATTAATAGATAATAGTTATGATTTCACATTACAATAGTGATGTGATATAATTGTGATTATTTTATTATTTAAGAACTAATTCTACTTGAATTTGTTAGTATTAATAATCATCAATTTATATTAGAATTTTCTATTGTAACAAAAAATTAATTTGGATAAGAAGTATTTTATTTAATAAGGTATGTACTATTTTTTTAAAGTGTATTTATAAATTTGGAATATTTTTAATGAAAGAATGAAACTATATATACAATCTATGCTTTTTTTCTAATTAATTAAGAAATTAGATTATATTAAAGTACACCTTCATGTTTCTAGGTATCAAATCATATTTTTTTCTAAAGATTTAGAACATGTTTAATTTTATTAGTAAATGGTATGGTTGGTTGAAAGAGAGAAAAAAAATATTTTAGAGTCACAAGCAACACTATATCATTAACAAATTCAAAATCAAATAGCCAATTGATGTTTTAAATTTTTTTTTTTTAAGAAATCAAAATTGTTATATATAATTTCTAAGCTTAGCATATTATTATTTAAATCATCATTTTAAAAAATAAAAATAAAATTTTTATCAATAGATGTAATTAATGTTTTTGTAAATAATACAATATAGAAATTATATGACAAAATAAATAATTTTTATTTATTTATTAATGATGATGTAAAAATATTATTAATTATATAAAAATTCTTACATAAAAATTAATTATATAAAATTTTGTAAAAATCAATTTAAGATTTATGTTATTTTCCTCTAGTAGCTCCTTAGTTCTCTTTGTTGTGGAAAAAGTGAACATATTCATTGGCTTGAAGATCCTCAAAACACACAACTTACACAAATAGCCAAAAATTCCAATACCCTCACAATGCTAGTATATAGACAATTTTTTTTTCTTTTTTTATAACCACATCACAACAACAAGTCACTCCTTCCAAACATAATTCCTCAACCAACATTTATTTCAAAAAAGACTTTATCTTCTAGTCACTTTTTGATTGATAACCATCTAGGTAAATCTACAAGGCATAATGAAAAAAAAACAAGCTAAGTTCTAACTACAAGTGACATCATAAAGGCATGTGGTTTTGCTCTATACGAATTCAAAAAAAATGGAATCCATGAGAATAGTTGTGCCTTTGTCATATTAGTGATATCTTATTATATTTGAGGGTACATTTTTTTATTATTAAGAATGCAAAGATATTCTTAATATTTCAATATATTGAAGGGATATATATGATATTTTTTTAAAATTATTTTACGTTGTTTCTAAATAATTAAATCATGTTCTTCCAATACTTTAAATGTTTTAATGTAAAAGAAACGAAATTAAATTATATATATTTTTAAAAGATTAATTATATATTTTTTGATATATATCAAAACAAACTTAGTTTTTTAAGTTTCATGCACACATGACATTAATTTTACATTATAAATAACATAAAAAAATTGAATAATAATAAGAAGATTTGGTGAATGGTGTTTGAATAGAACCTCATTCAAATGACATTATGTCATAGATAACTATGTTTTTTCTTGCCACTTTAATTATTTTTAGGATTAAAAAATAAATACATCTACATTTGATTGTATTATAAATCAAACCATTCAATTGAAATAACAATATTTTATATGCAAAATATTACTTGAATAGTATTACTTTTATTTATTTATTAAAATTATTAACCAATATTAATTTTACACTTGCAATAAATGAGATTCCCAGCAAGTAATATTTCCTCATTGTTCAATTTCCAGTTTTGGAAACCCAAAAAATTACCCAACAAAACTGTTTTTTGGACTTCAAATGATGGAACCAGGTTTTTTTTTCTTAAGGATATAATCTATGAAAAACCTTATAATAAACCTAAGCACATTGAAAAAAAAAAAAAAAAATCAAAAAAAAAAAAAAACGAAAAAATTACTCATTTTCTCTTTTCTTCTTCTTCTTCTTCTTTAATATATATTTTTTAAAAAATCTTGTCTTATTATTTCTCATATAAGTAAATAAGTAAATAAATATCAATGTGCATATGTATGTTTATATATATATATATATATGTATTCCTATCTTTAATTTAGCATGAAAACCACCATTTGTCCTATGAATGCCCCGAAGAATATCCAAGTTACCATGGCTTTAGGTGCCATTCTCGGTGATAGGAGACCCCATTGGTCATAGGCAGGGGAAAAAACCCTAATCGGGAGCCAGAGGTGAATTGGGGGGAAGAGGTTATGCTGTTGCAGAGAACGCAGTAGCAGCGATGGCGGGCGCCAAGGAGCAACAGGATTGCCTCTTCTGTAATCTCTGTGGCTCCTTACTGTCCTTCGATTCTGCGTCTTTCGCCTCCTGCCTCCTCTGCCACAATCAGCGCTCCGTTCAAGGTCTTCGTCGTTGCTTTCTTCTTTCTCTTCTTCTTCTACTTCTTCTTCTCCCTATCCCTGGACGGGTTGCGAGCTTTCTTCTAACTTTTGCTCTAGGTGCTTTCAAATCTTCTCCTGCTTGATTGGTCAGACAGTAAAATATTTCGTTTCAGGGGGTTTTTGGAATCTTTTGCATACGGTCGTGATGTTAAGCATTCTGTGAGGCTGAACTTCTCTGTTTTCTTTGTCGGGTTTGATTGGCAGATTTTCAGGGGAAGGAGATATGGTATAGAAGTACTCCCCAGGTATGCGCCCCACTCTAATTTTGAGTCCGCATTCACCATGTTATTGATTTTTGTAGACGTGAGTGTTAGCAGATTGACCTTGTCGCTTAAACCCTAAACCCTGAATCATGTCACAATTGCCTTTTTTTGTTTTATTTTTGTTTTTGTGTTTTCCTCTTGTTGTTTTGGTTGTGTACGAGAATCTAGTAAGTGAATTATTACTCCGTATAATCTTGAACAGATTGTGGAGTGTGTATGAATTCAATTGTATGCGAGAATGTGTGAATATTACAGTTGATTCGCGGGCGTAATTTGGATGGATTATCAAATTCCACTCCAGGCTTTATCAGGCTATACTTGAATCTAGTCTCATATTGTCTGAAGCACTCACTTTGTTTATCATTGAAGGAAAAGTTAAGCATATGGTCAGAGTGGATCCTCTTTACGACAACAACCCCAGTGTGTTTCAACCTGCAACTCATACTGCTACGCTTTTACACGCAGGACTTTATGCGACGCTTAGGAGTGGATTTACTTATTCAACCTGAGGAGACTCAAGTAAAAGCTAAAGAAAGCGATGAAATGCAACAACGAGCCGTAGTAAGTTAATTCGTTGGATTTAAAGATCCTAGTAATTTGAAGTGCGATGAGAACCTGTCAATTAAATGATTTCTAAAAGTGATGTAGGGTTTTGTGTTCAAGCAGCTGTTTCAAGCGTTACTGTTGCACTCTGTTTGGAGTAGTTTGTCTCAGAGAAGTCCATATTTAATGCTCAGCTAGAACGGTAAACTTGAATCTTTCGTTATCCACCTGATCCATTTTTGGCTTAATTATCCAAGGTGAATGATGAGTGTCCAAGATGCAAGAATCCAAGTCTGGAGTACTACACGAAGCAGGTATGTTTTTGACTGATGCAAGGTGTTGGTGCTTTCTAAGATAGCTCTGTACTTATCCTCAGTTTTATTTCCAGAATCATGTAAGCACAAACCTTGTGTCCCGAATCTTTGTTTGGCATTCGCTGACAAGGGTTTATTGTTTGCAGCTACGATCAGCAGATGAGGGGCAAACAGTATTCTATGAATGTCCTAAGTGTCATCACAAGTTCTCTCAAAATATGTAGTTTACGAAGAATTTCAGGGTTCTGGTGTATTTGCGACTCTTCTACAATTTAAGAGACCAAGTTGTATTAGCAGATGCCATTATGGCTAAGGATTAGGGATTTGCACAAACTGCAATGACCGCAATCAGGACTTGGACTTTATAAACCAACATAAACAGAGGATATGATATGTGCACTTGAGTTTTAAAAAAGCTTGAACATCTAGGAGCTGGTGTTCAACCTTGGGGAACATTGTTCACAGAGATTTTTACAGTCAAGAGCTTTTGTAGCAGTTGGAATACGACCCAGCACATGAAGTGAAACAGCATATCGATCGGGTTTGATGAGATTGCGGGATGTACGAGAACACATATCAACAGGCTTGCTTCACATATTTCGGTTTCCTCAAAGCAGCCGAAGTGTCGAATAGTAAATTATCTGTTAATTTTGAGTGTTAATTTTGAGTGTGTAGTTGAGCTTTGAAGCTTTTTGTTCTGCACGATGAAAAATGAACAGAAATTGTGACTTGATCATGCGCACTGCGAGTGTCCTGTCTCAGTTAGGTTTTCTTGGCTATCATAAGTTTACGTAGCGTGGAGTCTATTCATATGAGCATATGCCTAAAGGATAGGCCATGAGTTTGATCTTGTGCACAGATGGTTTAGTATTCAGCATCACCGTTCACTCTATTCTACATGCAGATATATAACAATAGTTTTTCTAAGAGAAGCTTAGCAAAATCTTTAAATTATAATAAAATTCTGTATTAATAAACCAAACATGATTTAATTTCAATTATATTAAGTAGTTTTTAATCCTTGATTTTCGAGCAGTTTCTTCTTGATTCAAATTTGTATTTTTTGATTTTGAAAAATCAAAATATTTACTATTTTTATATTTTAATTGATACGACGCTTAGATGTACAAGCATTTTAGGATATAATTTGATTTGATTTTGTTCTTGCAATACATTTACAAAATTGGATCATAAAGAAATGGTTTTAATTTCCAAAACTATTTATATGAGTGTAATTATTAGTATCACATAAAATCATAATTATGAGGTTTTTTAAAATTATATTTTAATTTTGAGGCAAAACATGGTAAACTTGATACTTAGTTAAGTAATTTATAAAATATGGCAACTTACATTCTAATACCTTTTGCAAGTGCAAATATTAAAACAACTAGCCAAAGTATTAAATTATGAGGTCAAAATCTTCCAAGCATTTACAAATTATCAAACCACTTTGTGAGATTGTAAGATTCTATTTGATTCTTAGATTGAATCTCTATCCAATCAAATATTTGTCATTTATGATGTAGCCCATCTTTTATGAAATATTACCATGTTATTTAGACATTATTTTAATTTTTTAAATGTGGCTCTTCACAAAAAAAATTCATTCTCAATTTAGCAAGATTAAACCAATTTTATAGTATGGAAGTCATTGTATTCTTGTGCTTCAAAACTATATATATATATATATATATATATATATGTTTTTTTAAATTCATATATTCTACGAATACAAACATCTTAACAATGACCAAATGATGCGAAAAAAAAAATTAAATTATAGAAAAATATCACTTGCAAAAATTCTTTGTTTTTTTTTTTTAAAAAAACCTTTTGTCTCTTTCTTAGAATTTGATGTTAGTATACATAGAAAATAAGTAGTCTAATTCTAATTTTAGTAAGTTTGGATGCACTCCCAAAACTTTTATAGAATAGTTTTAGGTTTTTAAGGCATGTATGGAAAACAATAAACATTAATAATTACAATTATAGAAGTCTAATTTTAATAAGACCTTTTGTTTAATTTTGTTTAAATTCACTTTGAAGTAATTTATGCAAATCAAAAGTATACCTAGTTTTGATGAATTTTTCATCATTTTCTCACTCCTTGACCAAAAATAGGTATATAGATAAAAAATAAGTTTATTTGCTATATTAAAGAATATTTTTTCTATTCTCATGACATTTTTTTGTTGATTTTTTTTAGTAGTCTAACAATCTTTAAAGAACTTCCCACTTGGTTATTGAATTGTTGGAATAAAAACATTCTTGGTTAAAAGAACCACTAAAAAGAATTAATTATTTTTTAGAGAATAAAGACAAAAAAAATCTTTAAATTTAGGAGAAAAAATCCTACTTTTTATTACAATGTGCTCTTATCATAAAAATACTATTAAAGAAAGCTTCAATTATATCTATTATATGTACTTAATTCTTACTTTAGTCTTATTTTATCCAAGAATAAAAGTTGAGAATAATCTTTGGATATATTTTTTAATTATTTAGAGATCAAATGAATAATAAATATCAACTTTTAAAAGTTTGATGTAAAAATCAATAAAAAGAAGTTTTGGATCCTATTATAGAAATTTATTCCATACTTTATAGAATACTTTTTATTTTATAATAGGTGGCTTTAGATGTATGCAAGACACCATGCATGCGCAAGTTCTACCTATTTTGTTTGTTTGTTTGTTTTGTTTTATTTTTTTTTATTTTTTTAATTATTTAAAGCTATTCTAAGAATCAAGTACAAACATCCAAGCATAATCTCATGACCATTAACTTTGAGTACTTGGTTTGATATGCATTAATTTGTATCTAAAAAATTCTTTAATTTTTGAATGTCCAAATTCTTATGTATATACAACTAATTTACCTATATATAAAAAAGAAAAATAAAAAAATTTAGTTGCTTCTTTACAATTAATAATTCTTAGAAATTTGTTTGTTGTTTTCCTAGAATTGACAATAGATTGATGAAGCCACTTTAAATGAAGATACAAAGATGCAATAGCTCTTTTGGAATAGATATATGTTCTTCAAAATAGAAGAAATTATCTTTAAACTTGAATTTACTTGAATCATCATATATTTAATTAAAAAAATCTTGAAAATAAAAAATAATAAGGATTATAGTTAAAGTTACATAAATTTGATAAAAAAATAGATCTATTAGAATTGATATAGTACATTTTTAAAAGAATTTTTTTTAGATTTTAAGAATATTTTTTGTTAAAAATTATATTTTTTCTATTCTTATTTTAACAAAGATATAATTTTTTTAATATAGCATGTAAAAAAATTTGTTGCTTGTAAAATTGATATCTGATGTTGGATTCAAAATAGAATAGATATATATTCTAATAGCCTTGATAATAATTAAAAATACAAACCAATATGAAATACTCAAGGTTCTTAAGATTTGTATATACATCACTTGATATAAAGTATCTTCAAGAAAATGATACTTTTATTAGAAAGAAACTACAATAGGAAGAAGATTTTGTTATAGATCTTGTAATTTATCTTTGTGGCCAAGAATTTCATAGAATAGAATATAATTAAATGAAGTATTTTTTTTTCTTCTAAATTGTGATAAAGCTACTTCTAATGAAAAATTCCAAAGTATTAGTTTTCATAAAAATGGCTTAAAAAAATCTAAATAAATCAAAATATAAGTTATAATGAATGTTATCTTTAAGTATTTAAAGGCTTTTTTTAGCTTTTGATCTCTATTCAAGCTTATCTTTGCATGTCAATGATGTAAGAAGAGTCACTATTTGAGCATAATTATTAATAAAGATCTTATAAATTTTTTAAAATTTATCAAAGCATTTAATGCCATGTACCAATTTTGAAGTTATCTAGTCATTAATTGTCTTAATTTTTTTGATCTATTATTAAGCCTTTATTATTCTACTTCTAATATACTAGTTTTATAAGTACATCTCTAGAAGATAAGAGTCGACCATCTATGACTTCTATATACATAACCTTGGATTTTGTGACTATAAATATTTTATAGATTTTAAAAAAATTTAAGTCAGTAAAGTAAGCAAAGTCTTCTATATCTATTAAAAGGAGGATTTTGAATTTTTGAGTACTCAAACATATTGGTTTGATAAAGAAATAAGAAGAAGTAGATGATAATACAAGATCTTCTTTGATTTCTAGAGTAGAAGAATTTAGTTTCTATCATATTAGGTAAAAATTAGTTTAAAAATATATTAGATATTTGATTGTAGAAGAATTTGTGTCATAGATATATATAAATTTTTTAGTAAATACCTATATGATTAGATAGGAATAGATAAAAATAGATAAAATTAGCTTAATCTCATAAGACCTTTTAGAAAAACTTCCTAAAAGCTTCATAGATGCTGCTTGAATTTACATATGTTTGTAGTTGATTGGTAGGTTAGAAACTTCATCAACAAGTTAATCATGTCATGATAGCTTGCAAAAAAAGCTAGCTATGTGGCACACATATAGAAAACTTTCCTTGCAAGTTAAGATATGTGTCTTGTAAAGTCAATACATTTTGAAGGTCCTATAAGACATTGCCACGTAAGTCCTAGTTAAGAGTATATATGGAGGTAAGAGTGAAGCCTTCTTCACTCTTGTCAATGCCTGTCTTGTCTTTAGTCTTGTTTCAAGACTTTCTAGTCTTTTTATTTTTAACAATAGCCATTTTAGTTTAATATTACATCACTTTTTGAGTGACTCTGTAGTTTTTTTCAGTGACACAAGAGTGTATTGAAGATTTTCTTTCTTCGAGATTCATATCCTTGACAGTTTGATAAGAGTATTAACATACTATTTTTATCTTATTTTAGAAGTGAGTAGATTATTCCACTTCTATTGTTGTATTTTAAAGGTTATGGACTACCTACCTTTAAACAAAAAATCTTATTTTTTAACACTAATCTTTTTCTTAAAGAGAGTAGATTATCCCTTTTTATAGAAATTTTTATTAGAGGTTACAAATTACCTTCTTCTAATTTAACCTTTTGAATTTATTTGATTTGTCTATGGAAGGAAAGATTATAGATGCTACTCTTAGCAAAAGTGAGGATAGATTTGCAACTATTGCAGATCTTCATAAACTTGCCACTACTCTATGAGTGGAAATCTCACATATTTTTGATATGAATCATGGAGGTACCATGCCTATACCTATGGAAGAAGTTCAAAATTTGTGGCAGAAAATAATGTAGTTGAAGGAAGCAAGTAGATCGACCTTACAACCAAATCTAGGGAATTTTTCTTCTACAAGTATGATGGAGACAAGGATTAGTATGCCTCAGAAGTTTGATGGAACAAGATCAAAATTTTGAGGATTTTGCAATAAGTCAAGTTTTATCTAAGATTGCATCCTTTCTAATACTCCAATAGATTTACTCAAGTTAGATTCATAAACACTCTTCTATTAAGAAGTATGTTTTCATGGTTTGTATTTTTAGTGGAAAAAGATTTGTGACTCTTTTATAATTTGAATTCATTCCTAGAAGTGTTTATGACTATATTAAAAAAAAATGATTGAGAAAGAGTATTAGAGACTAAGTTCTTATTTTGATGGCAAAGATCATTGTCAGCTACCATATGTGCTGCCGAATTCCAAAACCTTGCTTGCAACGTGGATTGGAATGACAAAGCTCTTATCAATCAATTTTGATATGGATTGAAAGATAATGTCAAAGACTTTTTACTGATAATATCAAAAATAGAATCTTTAAA